GGTGGAAGAAAAAAGGAAGAAGGTGGCAAGAAAAGCTAGTTATTTTAGTGATGAGAGTGATGAGGAAGAGTGATTTTATGGTAGCAATGGAGAATCGGCGCTGCTTTTTGAGGGTCAAATTTAATCTGGAATCATTTGAATTTGAGGTGTATTATATTTTGTTGGTTCTGTTTTTATAGCTGAAGATTTTCAGCTTGAATTTGATGGTAATAATAATTGCACATATGCATTATTGTATCTTTAGTGGGATATTTCTATGTGTAAGTTATTTTATGATGAATGATGAGGAATGGTGATTTACTGAGGGAAACGAAGTTGCTTTGTTGGTCTGATGAAAGATAATTCTAGTTTAAGATATGCAATCGATTTATTGTTTAAAAGTATGATTTGGGCTCGAGTCTGATGGTAATAATGGTGTTGAATTGTTCATTGTTGTATCTCTAGTGTGATATTTGATGCGTAGATAACAAATTGGTTACTAACTAGAAGAAGATGGTTGATTTTGTGGCATCCTTCTTAGTCTTCTTTGTTTATTTTGTTTTTTTTGGGTTAGTCTTATTTATGTCTCTATGTGCTAGAAAGATCTTGAAAATAGAAGTGGTTTTGATTTGTGTCTAGTTAGTAATTGATGGTATGGTTATCTCAGCTTTGTCTGTTAAGAGTCATGTTTGTTTGAACTTTATTTTATTTATTAATAGTTTTGGTTCTTGTAATTGTGGTGGAAGCTCATGTTGAACTAGCTTGAGGTTGAACTTCTGTTGGTTGGAATTAAACATTTATACTGATATTTAGATGGGTATCAAGAACTAGAGATAGAAGTTGTTATGTGCACTCTATTTTGCTTTATCATTTGAGCATGAGTGATAAATTCTCCTCTCTGATGATGATCTCAAGGAGGACTTTAGAGCAATTGACATCTGATATCATTATAGTGAATGCCTTAGACATATCTACAAGCAATTTAACGAGAATGCATGTATGAACCAAATGCATTCCTATCAATGGGAATAGGTTATTCATGTTTAAAGCAAGATGCTTTTCTGTTTTTGGCACCTGCAACTTGAAAAGCACCATGGTGCTTTTCCTTCCTGCACTATGCACCATTCAGTGTATCTTTCACTAGTGTGGAACTATAAAATGTTTATTTTGCCCTTGAGACTATGATATGGATGTCTATGGAGTTTATTCTTTTAATGTATGAGCTTGATTTGCATTTTAGTGTTTACATGGTGTGCCTTCTTCTTTACTTCAGCTGACATTTTGTTTTAAGTGTTGGAAATGTGGTTTGGGATTTGTAAAACTAATTCATTTTCTCTTTTGCTCACCAGCTTCTTTTTATAGAGTCAGGATTTACACTGAAAATGATGTCACTTCAATGGTCCAACACCGAGGAGAGCTTTCACAAACAGACCGAGTAGTATACCAGCATCCTCATTAACATGCAGGAGTTTAGCGTTTAGTATTTCAGTCTAAGAAATGATGTACAATAGCCTGATAAGTTGATTCATGTATGTTTAGGTTTTGCCTTGCAGTTTATTGATGCTTGTTAGGCACAAAGGCACCTGCTGGTTGCTTTTTCTTGTTCGTGTACCTGTGTAAAATGTAGGCAATGAGGGGAAAGCCAGTTCAATAGCCCTTTCCTTCTCTTTAAGCCTTTATGATACTGTTAAATTAACACTTAGACTGAATGGTACTTATAATTTATGAAAGCTTGTTTCCTTGGGGTTTTATTCAACTTCAATTTCAAATCTCCTCTTCATATCCTCCAGAACCAAATCTATAAATTTATTATCTTTAATAAACTGCTAAAAGTTTATACATATAAAATAAAATTATAAAATGAAACCTTCACTGGCAGTAAGTAATAAAACAAATAACAGGGTTGCAAAGAAGGATAAAAGCTTCATGACTCGGAATTGCTGAAGACATACAAACTTTGGAAGAACGGTAATTTTGCCTTCTATTAGAAGAATTGTGATGGTATGGCTTCGATAATTTTACCTGCTCATGCTTTAAGAGTAAAATTAAACAAGGATGGCAAAGTTTATGTGGTTTCTGTAACTGAGACTTGCATCGGTGGTGAAGATTGAATTCTAAATTAAGTAGCAAAATGTGACATGGCATCACATGGAAAAAGAACCCCTAAGAACCACCCTTCTTCATGGCATTCAACCACCATTAAGCTGCACTGTCCATGTTATGTGGAGCCTGACTGTTGTGCAGTCTGCAAGAAACTCAAAAACAAGGTAACAGTGCTTGATGTATGATTGCATAAAAGCTTTCTAAAAAAGGTTTACAGACAGCAAGGAAACACCAACTCACCAGCATCTCATGATCTCCCAGAATCTCATCTATCAACTCAGCTACTGGTTTATCAGCACTATTGGGAACAAGAGCAGCAAATACAGCTGGCTCTAATCCTGCATATATCCAAGGGAATAATGCCTTTCATGTCCATCACAGAATGGATAACTATTAGAGCTTGCACCACAATCATTCAACCAACAAAAATGTCCTTATACTTTATAGTGTTACAGAAAGGAGAGGGGCAAATCAATAAACAGATGGAGGGAGAACATTGCCTCAACTTCAGCAGCTTGAAAATGCACATGTTCTTTTTCCAAAATGGATTCCAACTACTTATAACTTTACATAAGTTTATTAAAAAATTTTATAACGGTTGATTCCAATTAGAGGTCAAGTTGTTTCAACTGCAACTTTAGGCTAAGAAAATTTTAGATACCAGTTTCTGGAAAAGCGTCAATGAACATCATCATCTCCTCCCCACTAAGACCAGAGAAAAAACAGATCCGTGGAAGTGACTTCGCAATCTGCAGAATGCAACATAGTAACTACATTTAAACATGAATAGCTAGAATTTAACCAGACAAAAATGAACCTCTAATGTGCTAACCATTTCATCCAGAAACAAATTAAGTACTAGTATCTTTCCTTCCAATAGATAAAGCAGCATTATAGTTTTCAGGTCATCTGAACAAAATTAATCTGTTAAAAGAACATGGAATCTGCTGCTTCTGTGAACAAACAACAAACTAAAACAGCATAATAATAATAACGCATAGAGTAACTCCTAAAGTACTAGAATACAAATTGAACAAAGAAATCAACTATAAGATTGCAAGATGAAGTAGATTATTGAAAATTTTCAAAGAGAAAACAAAAATGGATTTATTGTGAAGATCGAGTTGCTTTCTATTCAAAGATGACAAAACCATTCAATTTCCTTGCGATAGCTAACCATTCTGACCAAATAGCATAAGCTGATATGCTGGGGCTAACATTATATCTACCAACATTTTCCTTCACTGGCAAGCCCATTGAGCCATAAAAGTGGTCCAAATAGGGGTCCTCCACTTATTAAATTCATGCTAAATTAATTCTATGGACTGTTAGGTCCAGTTTTCCAACCATTTTGACCTAGATGCTTTAGCTGATAAGTTCAGAGTAAACTAAATTATGTCTCCTGACAGCCTCAAATATTTGGAATTCCCAATGAGCTTTCCAAAAGCTCATTAGATTCATCATAAACATGCTAACTCCCGTATTTCTAATAGAAACTTTGTTGAGCCTCATACTGCCAGCAGAAAATGGTAACCAGTAAACAGGATAAGATGGTGAACAAGAAAAATGATTTGAGATTAAACTAAGAAATCAACCTTCACTTCTTCCAAATTAGGTTGCCTTGTATTCACAGCTTCCCAAAGTGAATGAGTAATCATGTCTTCAGTACAATAAATAATCTGAACATGTAAGCACTCAAATGAGAAAAAGTATATTGCAACATGTTTGAATACAGAAGATCAATATTTCCCTCTGATATGTGAAGTAGCTATCATAACATCAGTTTCCAGGAAGGCTGGAACTGATACCACAGCAAGAAGGGAGATCCTAATTTTCCCTCTCACATGAAACACAACAGAAACGTAAGATTTTTTCCAATAAAAGTAGTTCAAATGGATATAGGTCTAAAGATACACCCTTTAACATATGGGGGTAAATGAACAAAATCCCATTTCCAAAGCTTCTGCACTCCCCAATCTTGTTAATGAAAACTTGAAACAATAAAAGCCATGCTAATAAATCAATCCCAAGGAAATGAAAAACAGGAAAAAGAATCTGAATACTGCCGTATTTTGTGAGGAGAATAGCATTAGTACCGTACGTGGTTAAGGCAAGGGCAGAAATTTTCTTTGAGAAAGTTGAGGAACAAAACAAAATACACAATTTCTTTTGGAAAAATCTTCTTTCATCAGGCTCTTTCATTTTTTTTTTCTTTTTGCATCATTAGAGAAAAATGTAAAGAAAAGAAATAAAGTATTACCTCCAAGAATTCACCATCCATTTCCTTTAAAAACTGTTGTATCTGTCATAAAAGACATACAGAGTTGCAAGATGAGTAAGGGCATCATTCTAAGAATTAGTCCAACACACACACACATGCAAAGCTGCATACTCTTGTGATTCATCTTGAATAATAATTATTGAGAGATGAGACAGTGATTCATCTTGTGCTCACAAATGTAACTAGCACAGATTAGAAAGTGAGACAATACAATTTGACTTTAGCCAATTTCTCATATGAAGAAAATGAAAAGGATGTATACCCAACACCTTTCCTTCCTCACAGCTGAGCTGCTTAGGCATAGCCAAGTTGGGAACCAGACCATCTCTAAGAAGGAGGTCCTAAATTAAAATTCCACCTACCTCAAACTGAAAAAATGGGGGAAAAACTGTAACACCGACACCCCCCCCCCCCCCCCGCTTGGATTTCCCTTTGTCCTCTTCACTTATTGATATAAAGGAACGGAAAAAAAGAATCACGAACACCCTAATAAAAGCTTGCACGCAAGAAAGGAGGTGCAAGCAACTACCCATATTCTTCACCAAGGACATATAAGCTCCATTGAGCTCTAGAAAGAATGTACTACAGATAATCAAATTTAGGATAAATTGTTTCATCTGCTACAGAAAGAGAGGTAAAAGTTGCCAAACATTACCTTCTCTGCCTCTTCAACTTCAAATCCAAGCAACAATAAAGCCTACAAAATAAACAAAATTTAAAAATCTCAAAGGTCATGTGGGCTCACACTATGTATTTATGTTTATGATTCCTCATGAGAACGATTATTGTTTGATACTTTTAATGCAAGGATTGTTCTCTGTAATAAGTTCCACTACAGATTCAAAGTGCAAGAACTTGCATGATTTATCTACAATCATTTTGTTAAATAGCATGATAATTTAAACAGAATTTAGCTGGCGGTACTTGAAACAGGTAAGAAACTAACCAGAACTTACAGGTGGACCATATGTGGGATCATCAGCATTTAGAGGAACAAATTTCGAATCCTCAACTAATTCACTGGGAAGTCCTGAAAAATATGAACATGTTAGGAGTATATCAACACAAAGTCACAAACACACTGAAGACAAACTCTTAAGGACAAGAAATTTCCATGGAAATAAACAAAATAAATAGAATTGGTTGAACAACATCAGTGAGAAGCCCTTTAAATGGCCTCAAATTACTAAAGATTATCTGAATTTTACCTCAAAGATAATAATCTCAAAATTGATGTTTCGGAACAGATTTGAATCTATAAAAGAAATCTGATATGATTTGCGAAAATTAGGACTTCATTTAAGCCCATACAAACCAAAAAGCATTCTACTTTCAAAATTCACCAGATCAACACAAACACAAATAAGTCCTCTTTCAGAGAAAGCGCAGCTCAGGAAACCACCAAAGCAGTAATGCTGGACATAATTTTTCCTACATGTAACTCTTACATGGTCCAGAATTCAAAATCTTCAACTTGTTTATCCATTTCACTTTAACTTAATTGGGCATTCTGTTTTGTACTCTAAACTACTCCTCATCCAAATATGACTACTTGTTTTCCTTTTCATGGAACTTAAAACATGATAACATGAGCTAAATGCATCACATAATAAATGAGTAAAGCTACACCTTTCAACATATACATAGAATAAAAGCATTGGCAAATTAGCTGATAATTAACAGCAATACAACATACGAAAACTCAACAACCTTAACACTCAAACCAATAGTAACCCACCAACCAAATATCCATTTTACTCCGAAAGAGTAAAACTTTAAGAAGTTTTATTACAACTAAGGGACATTAACTTCAAAGGGTAAGCACACCTTCAGCTGATGCTCTCGTCAGTCCTCTGGGGTGCTTGAGCTTCTTCTTGTGATGACATGCAGCATTCTTAGCTGACAATGAAGAAACTACTGAACTATGTGAAACTGCAAAAACAGGAGGAATTAAAGAAGCCTGAGACTTTGCGAGAAGATTCTGACAGAACCCAACACTAAAAGCCATTTTTCAATTCTTTCGAAGCTGAAAACCTTTGGCTTTCTGTTATCTTGATAAAGTTGAGCTTTTTTTTCGGTTTAAGTGTTGATAAATATGCTGAGTGGACACAGATATTTTACAGTGTATAATAGATCCATGCAGCAATTTTGATCGACCAATCACCTATTACCACGTAAATATATGAGCAATATAAATTTTAAAGCTTTGTTTATCTGTCTGTGCATTTTTTTTATTTCTTAATTGCAATTTTAAGTTCAAAATAGATTTTTTTTAATTAAGGGAGTGAGATTTGAATTTTATTTTTTAAATAAGAAATCAAAATAAATATTGATGCTAAATACTTTTGTTATTTACTTTTTACTTTAGAAATAAAATTCTACTTATGCAATCAAATAATTATTTAAAATTGAAATTAAAATTAACCCTGTTTAATAGTAAAATGTATTCCTTTTAATTATTTTATTTTAATTATTTATTCATTTTAATCAAATATTATTATTTTCATTTCTTACCGCTTTTACTTTTTTTCTACAATTTATCATGAACAAAGAGTAAATAGTAAAAATAATAATCAAACCAAAAATAAAAGTTAATGCTATATAGTCAACATATCTAACTACTCATAAATGATATAGTGATAATAAACAATAGAAGCATAGGCATGAATATACAGTAAATAAATGAAAAATACACATACCATTCTTCAAATCTTGAAAAACACTGCTTGATTTCTCTCATATTCTCCATCTTTGTTTGAATTGATGACAAGTTTTATTGAAAAATTATCAAAGTTAAAGTAAGGTTCTCAGCATCATGTCAATAATTTTCTTAATCTTTACAAGTGATTTTTTATGAAGCCATTCTCTTATATTTAATTTGAATTTCAATTATTTATACAATCTATATATATATATATATATATGCAAGTCCTATATTTCATCCAACGCTAATTGAATTGTTTTTATCAAAGTCTCTTTCATAATTAGGAAAATTAAAATTCTTCTTCCTTTGCAATGGCTATTTTTTGTTTTTTTTTTTCTTAAATAGTATTGTTCAATTGCCTTTCTAATAGATCATATCATTTAAAAATAAGTTAAAGTATTAAGTTTTTTTTTTAATTTTTTAAACATATTGTGACAATCCTCTAAACATATTTGTGAAGTTTAAAAATTGGATCAACCATTGAATATAACAATTCATAAATAAAGTAATTTAATTTATTTAATTGATGGAAAATTTTCCACTTACACCAAGAAATATGTATAATTTTGTAACAAATTCAACTTATTACACATTTTAATCACTACAATATGAGTTGCTCAAAGCTAAGCTAATATAGCTTTTCTAATAACCACTATTTGCAAATCAATAATGTTAAAATACGTCTCTCTTTATATGTCAAAAATAAAAAGAAAGTCTCTCTAAACTACGTTTAAGAGAGTAGTGTATTGTGAAAGCAAGGTGATTACCAAGGTTGTTTTTTATGCGATTGCTGGTTTTTTGTTTTTTTGTTCTATTCCAGTGTTGGTAATTACGTTGAACTCAACTGATTGTAGTCATGGAGGATTTGAAGGATAGATGGAAAACTTTTAGGCTGTCTAAGGATGAGAATTCTCACTTAAAGATTGATAGCAAGGCTTACAAAGGATCTTCGAGTAGCCTTAATGATTTCTGCTTATTGGGTTCGATATGGAAGGTAAGAAAATCACCAAGGATACAATGATTAAAACCCTAGGGAATTTGTGGAATATTAGGGGTAGTCTGGTTGTTAAAGAAATCAAAGAACAAATCTTTTTGTTCACTTTTGATGATAAAGATGATCTTGAAGGTATCAAAGTAGGCAGGTTGTGGAGTTTTGATAAAAACTTGATTGTCTTCAAGGATTTTGATGCTGACTTGATGGAACCAGATGATATTGATTTTGAGACTGAGGGGTTCTGGGTTCATATTACTAGATGGCCGACTAGATTAACGTCAAAAGAAACCGCAATTGGATCAACAATAAGGTTGGTCAGTTTCTCAATGTAGATGGCGGAGACGATGATTTAAGAGGCAAGTTTCTGAGAATTAGTGTTCCCTTAAATCTATTAAAACCATTGAGAAGAGTAGTTATGATATCCATGGAGGCTAGTCAATCTAAATGGATTAATGTGCAATATGAGAGACCACCAAAGTTCTGTTTTAAATGCAACATTATTGGACACCAGGAGCAAGAGTGTAGGAATTCGTGCTTGGATGAGAATGGAAATGAATTGCATAACCAATATGGAGTTTTCTTTATCACTCCACCACACAAAAAGAGGGCTGTACATGCATTTCATGGATCGAAGGAGCAAAAAGAAGGGATTGTTATTAAAAAAAATAGGAAACAATGAATATAAAATAAAATAAGTAAAAATAGTAAGAGAAAATCTGAGGTGTGGTATCACTGTTCTTAAGGATAATTTTTACCCCCTCAAAGTATAAAATTCAGTGTAAAAGGATTGCAGCGGCTATCTTTCAGGATTCAACAGACCCTTCCTTAGTAGTTTGCACAAACTATTAAGGAATAACAAGAACAGTAGAAAAAAAAAACCCAGTTAAAGAAGAAAAGAGGCAGAGAAAATAAGCAGAGAAAGCTTAGAAGATGAAAGGCTTTGGTGTATATTGCGAGTGAGGGTGTGAGGCTATATTTATAGGGAAAGAATGAAGTGAACGTTGTACCAAATAAGGTGAATGTTGCACTAGATCCAAGAGTTGAGAAAAAGGCTTAAGGAGTTAGAGAAAAACCTGGTCAGCTTGTATACTGAGTCAGGAATACGTTGTAGTACTTAGTTAGATAAACGTTGGAACAAAACTAGGTAAGCTAGGTTGAGTTTGAGTATGATTCAATCAAAAGCTGAAAAACTTAAAAAAATCAATGCTAAGGTACAAAAATTCACTTAGGTATAGCCCACGTGTATATTCGTACGCAAGGAAAAAAATTAAAATTTCTCAAGGTTTGGCTTAATCTTGTGTGCACTCGAGCCCACTTTGTTTTTCTTACTTGCAACAAGCCCATAGTGAGTTTTCATATATAAAGCATTCACTTTTCATGTATCTTGGTAATGTAGGATGTTTAAACCTTATAAAATACATTATTTTACAACAATCCCTCACATATTTTGTAAGGTTTTATAAGAAGTTTTGCTGAGTCAAATTTCATTTGAGTGTAATGCATCGTGGCTGATGCTTTTTAAGTTATGAATCACTCATAGAAAAAATAAAACATAAGTCATAGAATTTTGGTGAAGTTTGTAACTTATATGAACTAAAATTTTTTATGTGAAATATAGTTTTCATCAATCACATTACACCCTCACAATTTCTGGTGTTTAACATGATTTTGTGCAAATAAGCCATGCGCATGCTTAGTTATTCATAAGTGCTTTAGAGAATTTGTCATAATTCTCATAAGAGCTGCCTACCCCACTCCACACTTATATAGGTTGATTCCATTAAGTGTATATTGCAGTATAATACACTACCTATAAAAGATATGGAATGCATTAAGAGTTTAGCTTAACTTCCCTTGCATTGCAGTTTTGCACTATTCACACAACATAGGAAAGACAATAATTTCAATAGTGCATTAATTTATCAACAAATAACTTGTTATTACCCATATGAATCTAATTCATGAGATCTCCAATCACATAGGTTGGGTTACCATTATTTGTTGATTTTCTTATTTGGCTTAAGTCCCATTCCACTCGATGTAGTATTAATTAATGTTCTTTCTAGGGGTTTAGTCAGAGGATCAATCAAATTCAACTCTGACTTCACATAATTAATAGATATAACTCCATCTCTAAGCAGCTGTTTTACTATATCATGTCTCAAACGAATGTATCTATTTTTACCATTGAAACTTTTATTTTTTGCAATAGCTATTGCCACTTGGCAATCACAATTTATAGACATAGAAGGTGTTGATTTCATTCCCAATGGAATACCTGCTAAGAGGTTTCTCAACCACTCAGCCTCATTGCTAGCCAACTCTAAAGCTACAAATTCTGACTCCATTTTAGATTTAGTAATTATTATTTGTTTGGCTGATTTTCAAATTATAGCACCCCTACCAAAGGTGAATACATAACCACTCGTGGATTTGCGTCTTATCTAAATCTGAGATCCAGTTAGCATTACTGTATCCTTCTAATACAATGGGAAATCCATAGCATAAAATACCATAGTTTATGGTATTTTTCAAATATTTCATCACCCTGCTCAAAGTAGTCCAATGATCTCTATTAAGACTTTGTGTATATCTGCTCAGTTTACACACAACATAAGCTATATTGATCAAGTATAATTCATCAAATACATTAGACTCCCAATAATTTGTGCATACTCATATTGAGCTACACTATCACTTCTATTTTTCTTTAATTGGATATTACCATCATAAGGAGTACTCACAAGTGTGACATCAAAATGTCCAAAGTTTTTAAGCCACCTCTCAATATAATGCTCTTGTGTTAGCATTAAGCCACTATCACATCATATAATTTTAATATCTAAAATAACTTTAGCTTCTCCCAAATCTTTTATATCAAATTTAGTAGCCAAACAACATTTGTTTTATTGATCACATCAATGCATGTATCAAAAATAAGTATATCATCAACATATAAGCTAATAATCACACACTCACTATCAACAGTTTTTGTATACACACATTTATCAACTCCAATAGTAGAAAATCCATATTACTAACAAGAACTTGATCAAA